CCGTGGCCCTCCAAGTCATTCCTGGAGAACTGAAGACCATCTATTATCTGTCATCAGTGTCTCGGGATTCTCTGCCTTCCTCTTCATTTCTGCTGCATCTGCTTCAGCTCAGGCCTCACCACTCAGACAATCTCGATAGCCCCCAAAGGACCTCCTTGCATCGGTCCTCTTCTACCAGTCTGGCTCCCCGCTCACCAGAGAGTGTTCTTGAGCATTCGGCCAGTATGTGTTGATCGAGCACCCCTGCCAGGCACTATGTGCATCAGCATCCGACTGAGTTACAGGGTCCATGCCAGGTAGCTCAACAGCGGGAATTGAATACAGAGGACCAGTTACAGTGGTATAGGATGAGCTAAAAAGGCAGCAGAAGACAATGAAGCAACTCAGCATTATCAAAAGCAGCAGGAGGTCCCTGAAGTTGAAGGGATGAAAGGAAGAGGTATGTTATCAGAGCCCAGAAGAAGGGGCCACATGGCAGGAACTTGAACTGTGGAGACAGAGGTTGTCCTGCAGGAGCTGGAGGCTGGAAAGAGTTACAGCTATTGTCAGTAGTACTGCCCCAAGCAGAGTGAAGGAGAGAAATATTCTGTCCTTCTCTCTCCCACCTGTGCCTCCCGTTGGCCAAACCCAGCAGTAAGCCAACTGACAAATGATCCTGGAATATGTCCTTTGCAAGAGTCGGAGAGTCTGATGCAGAGCAGGAAGCTGCAAGGATCCCAAAACAAACATGCCTATTTCCAGCACGAGAGAGTAAAAGTCAAATCAGACAATCACAGCCCACAAGTCATCCATACACACCTCTACTTATCGACAGAGAGTGTGGTAAGTGGTCGAGGGAGATGCAGTCCGTGGGAGTGCTGGGAAGGGCATCGCTGGGGGCAGGGTGTAAAGATTCTTTAGGGAGGTGACATTTGAGCTGAAACTTGAAGGCTGAATTTGAGTTAACCAGATGAAAAGGAAGGGGGACTGGGAAGGCATTTTCAGGGTGGAGTTTGCTTGAAGTCAAGGAACCAAGAATATCGAGACCAATCATGTGGTTTCTTCATGAAGAACCCTGAGAAGGCTCCCTCTCCATGTGGTGCAAAGTGCTGCTCCCTCTCCACCACAGCCCACTTCCCGTAGGGACCCCAATATTGCAGGTGCCTTGCACTTCTCTCTGCACATATAGGGCTTGTGATTTCACCCTCAGTGCCTTTTACAAGCCTCTCCCCGTTGTTTCCTGGCAAGATTCAGCCCAAACATCAGCTGCTCTGTGAGGCCTACACTCCACGCCCTCACACATGCACTTGGGGTGGGTGTTTCTGTAGCCGGCTTCCTTGAGGAACTGTGAGTAAGGTCCTCACGAGTAAGGGCTGCCTATTCCCATTATTATCCCAAGTGTCGGCAAAGCACCTGGCACAAAGTTGGCACTCAAAAAAACAAATGAAAAACTGGAAGAAGGTGGAAAAAAGAGGAAGGGAGGGAAGAAGGAACCAAGGTATGCTGATTTCAAGGTCACACTGCCCGGACTTTTTAAAGGAGGCTCTGTCAGGGTATAAACACACCACATTTTTGTGGACGTAAATTTTGTTATCGAAGAGAGATTTGGTGGCATGGAAAATGTTCTATGGCTTTTCTAGTCAAGCTTGTATTGCATCTGCCCCCATAGTGAACTCTTCCTCAATGAGGAGTCCTGTGTTCCCCTTGCTCACCTGCCCCAGCGAGGCTCTGGGATTTCATTGCACAGCAAGCTATGTCTGCTTCTAAGGCTCCAGGGGGCACTTCTGCTTATTTGTTTTTTTGCAAAACACCTAGATTTGCCTTCAAAATTGCAGCTAAGCCTAAGGCAAATAACTTACAAGAAAGGCAAGGGTGAGTCACTGAATAATTATTACCTGGTTTGCCCCCAGCTGTCTTTGTCTGGGCCACATTCTCCAGCTCAGCATGGCACAGCTTCAGAGCTGTTCAGTAAATGGCCCTAATGCCCATCAATGGGGTATCAGCCAAGTGAATTGTGGTGCAATCATTGGATTTAACACTCTGTGAGCATTAAAAATCATATCAAAGGCTCATGTTTATTGACATGGGAGAATGTTCCTGATATCTTGTTGGGTAGAAACATACATGGTTTTTTATGTAGAAAAAAATGATCTGAAATATGTAAACCCAAATATTTGTTATTTTTCTTATTTCTGTAATTTTCAAGTTTTAATAACTCAAATTGTGAAAAAGAAATAATTTAAAAATTTAAACATGATCAAAGCAAAAGATTAACTATATCATATGGTAGTTTGTCACGGATCACACCTGTATCACAAGGTGTTAGATTATGAGACAGACTTTGCAAGGCTAGGAGGCCCAACAGACGCGGTTGGAGAGCGGGGTTCTCCCCGCAGCTGCAGTTTTGAGCGACACGGCTGTTTCATTTTTATCGGTTTGAACAGAAATCCTTCTCAACTATAAATGACTGCAATAGTACCAACTGTTTTATAACCATTTTGTGTCAAATTAGGCTCGCTTTGGTTTCTTTTTCCATTTAGCTTCATAAACAAATAGTAACGAGAGCTTGCATTTACTTTTGTTACTGTTGTAAGCACCATTCTGAATATTGTACATATATTTGCTTATTAATTCTTCATAACAACTATAGGAGACAGGTGCTCTTATTATCCCCATTTTTATATGCGGAAACTGAGGCCCAGAGAGGTTAGAGGAGGTGCTCAAGGTCACACGGCACGACCTAGAGACCCTGGTGGCATCACGCTGGAGCCCACATGCCTGACCTCACCCCAGCGTCCAGGCAACGCTCACTACGCGAGGAAGAGCACCTGATGGGAAGAAGAGCTGAGGATGTACTGTGCATCCATTTCATATTCCATATTGAATTATATTCCATTATATAGAAGCTACTGAAAATAAAATAGAAAAAAGGAAGGACCCTAAATCTACCAAGGAGTGTGAATACTCCTCACTTGCTCATAATATCCAGGAGACTGATGGAGCTGTTATGCATATTAGTAAAGCTATCAACCGCTGCTTGGGTGATAGTGAAGCAAATGTGACAAGAGGCTATGGCTGAGGAAAGTGTCTAAATGGTGTATTAATTAATGTTTAGCCAGACTGCACTAACTGAGGATGGTGTGTCTCATACACTCACAGAGCATCACGGAGGGGCCTGGCCCACCCCCATATGTGCACTTACGATCATCTGTAAATGCCCTGAAGTTCTAATTCTCCCTCTCCCTGAGAATTGTCTCTCAGAGTCAGCATGACACACTTTTCTCCTGAGCTGCAGCTGCTTCCTAATCTCTCAAATGTGAATGAGGGTTTCCAAAGCCACTAGGAACCCTCAGGTCCACACACACAGCACAGTGGTCACTCCTCACCCTGCACTCAAGACTTTGCACGGTTCCTCAAAATGCTATGCATTTGCTCACTCCTTCACTCCTTCACTCAGCGAATGTTTGTGAGTAACTACCACATAGCCCTCAAGCCCTCAAGGACCTGAGACCTAATGGAAGAGAGAAATATGAAAAGGGTGTTACAATGATAACTGTGCAGAAGCAAGGTGTGAAGGAAGAGAAGAGGCAGCTCTGAGTAAGACTTGCAGGGGAGATAGGTAATATTTAGATGAGATGGGTAAGACCTCGAGACTGAGGCCTGAGATGAGGAAAGGACGGAAATTATTGCAGGCAGAGGAACATCAGATAAAAAGGCCTGACACATTTGTGGTTGTAGGGACCATTGAGAAGGGGGGACTTGTCAAGAGGAGCCCCTGGGACAAGCAGGGGCAGGCGCGGTCGGGGACGGCTGGGACCACAGGCGGGGTTTTCACCCAGCTGTAACCACAGCCAGTGAAAGGACATGAACAGGGAGTAACATGAGACGGAAAACTCCATCCTTGCCCTTCAGGGATTCACAATGCTGTGATTAGATTATGAGCTTCAAAACTTTAATTTAGCCTTGGTTAAAAAGATGAAATGAAAGATCACACTAATATTTTACCAGAGGGCTTGTGAAGGTGTAATCAAGTTGATAACTACTTTAGCATTCCAAGTCCTGTTCTGGCTGTTGCCCTTCTGAGTAAAGGAGAGATGAGTGGGTTAGGGGATGTTTGTGTCTGGGCTTTACAGGAACGGAGGGACCAGAATGCGCCAGCCACACGGAAAAAGGTCTTCTTACATTTAAATGGATATAGGTTGTTTCTTATTATCACAAATTACAATTTCTTTCCTCAGTGTTTACTGGCAAGGACTGAAAAACTCTGTGATTTATTCTGTTCACTACAAAGTATTTTTTTTCACAACAATTACATCTTTGATATTTGACATTGTCTTTGTTTCCTTAGCCATTGGTTGGCAATCCAGCCCATGGGCCAAATTGGGCCTGCCCACCTGCCCCGGTTTTTACACGACCGTGTGTATTAGCAATGCCTTCTTTTCTATGTTCTGATGCTTTGACATCTGGGGCCTTGAGGAGTCCACTCAGGGTCAGCCAGTTCCTCATTTTATTGTACTTCACAAATGCTGCATTTTTTTACAAAGTGAAGATAAGGCCCTCCACCAGCAAAAAAGATTATAACTTGCTTTCTTGAGATACTCACTTTATTACGGTGGTCTGGAACTGAACCTGAACTATCTGAGAAATGCCTGCATTTTTTGACCTCTGCCATAACCTATATAACATGTTAGTTATTTTATTTGCTCATTTAAGCTATAAACTTGTATAAATCTATCTCTTGTTCTCTGCTATTGTCCAAAAGCTTCAGGATCTCTGGGTTTGGCTTTCTTCCTGGGGTCTACACACAACTGAGTTTCCAGTGATTTTTGAAAAAGAATCCTCAGTAAGAACTTTTACATTGTGACTCAGAACACCCACACAGATAACAGAAACAAATTTTATGAAACATTACTCATCCTTATAGTGTGTGGAGCACTTTAATGGGTTCTCTTCTCCATTTTAAAAATAGACTGCTTATAATCCGCCGTTTACATCGTCCACTGGTGAGTCAATGTGCGCATTTTAATAAACATCATCATCAGAGAGACTTCAGTCCGAACAGCATGGGATGTTTCTCTTATGAGAAACACAAAATGTTACAGTCCGCTGAGGAAGACAAACATAGAAATAGATAATAGCAATAAAGCACAAACGACAGAATGCAATTTAAAAGAATGCTCTAGGAGCAAACAGGAAAAAGAGCTAATTTTTTTCAATGGGGTTGTTGAATAGGGTTTCACAGAGCAAGTAAGATTTGAATCGAGTCTTGAAGGATGGTCAGGAAATCGCTAGTGGAGAAGAGAAAGGCAGCATTCACTGCATTTCAGAAATGCGTGCCGGGTAACAGAACCTCCAGGAGGCTGAGGACTGGTCTCCCTCAAGTGTTTATTTCCAGGCGAGTTCGGCACCAGTCGGCGCTCACTAAGATTTTGCTGTGGGTTCCCGCAGTAATTATCTCAAGACCTACTTGGGCCTCACCCTATCCACCACTAAACTGTAAATTTGAGCTTCTATGATCTTTTTTTTTCCTTTTCACCACTTTTCACTTCTCTTGGGATCATTTTCTTTTAATTCATGCAATTAATGTTTGTTAAAGGCATACTGTGAGTAACTTTTGAAATCAAAACCCCAAACTGGTCTCTAATGCTCCATCTGCCAGATTTAGTTCTTAAAAAATCCATGCAATGAGACCCACCAGTAAAATCCATGCTGTAGCACTGTTAGTCTTCCAGCTTAGATCTCAGTCTGGTCTGCCATGAGCCTAAGGCCCAGCTCCACCCTGCCTTCCCTTGAGCCCACCCTGGGCTCACTTGCTTCTCCCTCTCACTACACTGAAGCCAAGAAGGAACAAAAGGACGTCAACTTCCCTACTCTGATACCCACAAGGCTCGGCCCCTTATGCTATGCTGTTGTGAAGTCAGATGCCTTCTCTAAGATTCCTGCAGGTTCCTTATGGTCTCTCTGGCTCTCAGTCCCAAATCACCATGAATTCTTGATAGCACCGTGTTTATGTTTTCTGATGGACTGTTCTTTTCTCTGCCCCATTTCCATGACTTGCCATCTACCCCAACTTCAAGTCAGTCCACAAGGCTTTTCCCAAAGGTCTGGGTGATGCAGAGTGCTTCTATTACCATATTTCTAGGTGTTTTCTTCCTAAATATTACCTACTTTTCAGTTTTTTAGGTCAGACATGACTCTCTCTTCAGTCATCTCTCTTCAGGCATCCAGCATGCCTCACTTGCATTATTATGCAGATAATTTTAGATTTCTCCTTTCTAGTTCTGGGCTTCTCTCTACCTGTCCCAAATTCAACCAGATTAGACAAATGCAATAGGTTCCTCATCTCAGTGGTGTGCTGTGGCAATGATGGAGAGTGGGGGTGGGTGCAAGCAATAAGGGACTGCCTTGCTGATAAAGAATCTAAAAGCAATAATAGTCTTGGCTGATGTGGCCCTATTGGTTGGAGTGACCAAAAGATCGCTGGTTCGATTCTCAGTCAAGGAACATACCCATGTCACAGGTTTCATCCCCTGTGGGTGTGCATATGAGAAGGCAACCAATCGATGTTTCTCACATCTGTATTTCTCTCTCTCTCCCTCTCTCACAAAAGCAATGAAAAAATGCCCTAGGGTGAGAATAAACACATTTTTAAACAATAATAAAACCAACTAAAAGTTGGTCTGTTTTCCATTGTCACTATGTACCAGCAATTCTAAATGATGTTAGTAATAAAATACTCCTGCTCCCTACTGTGCATGCTCCACTGTTACCCTTGTCCACCTTGCCCTACCCCCATTTTGGTAAACACTGCTCCATTTAGGAACCCAAAATGGGCAGGCTCTTTGAAATGTCCATCTCATCATCTCTGCCAGGGAGTTTCTTTCTCCACACATAGAGGATTTCCTCCTTCTTTCTCTCTCCTGACATTCTTTCTCTCCTTGGTTTCTATGCTACCACTCTCTCCTGGTTTTTCTTTCTTTTTTAAAAAAGATTTTATTTATTTATTTTTAGAGAGAGGGGAAGAGAAGGAGAAAGAGAGGAAGAGAAACATCAATGTGTGGCTGCCTCTTGCATGCCGCATATTGGAAACCTGGCCCGCAACCCAGGCATGCACCCTGACTGGGAATTGAACTGGAGTTCCTTTGGTTCACAGTCCCACACTCAGTCTGCTGAGCCACACCAGCCAGGGCTCTCCTGGTTTTTCTCCATTGCCTCTGCTTACCCTTCCTTTGCATTCTTCCAAAATTGTTTCTCCCCTTCCTTGAGCTAGGCAGGAGGAAGGCATGGTTAGTTTATTCTAAGGATGAAGTTACATGAGCAGCTCTTCTTACCCAAGCTTTGCCTTTCCAAAGCAGCTGAAGGAAATACAGAAAAGCATCATATCTCAGAGAGGATTTTCAGGCCCAGGAAGAGAAGTGTGCCCTAAATGAGATGAGCAAGAAAGACAAAGCGTGAGGGGAGAGCAAGGCTGGTCATTTGTGATGTGAGTGAAGCCAGCTGCCCTGAGACGTGTGGACACATCTCACACAAGATTCTTGTGTAGGATTTTAGGCATGAGACAAAAAGATGGAGCCAAATACTCTGTGACAGAATTATATTACTCCATAGCACAGCGGACGGGTCTCTCTTTCAGCTAGAGATAGTGGTGGGTTTCCAGGATGTAAAGGCAAAAAGGATGGAGGGAAAGCCCCACCAGCAGGTGACCAGCCACACACCAGCCTGTAGCGTCCTCTCCCGCGCCCATCCTGATATGGGTACCCTGTGCAACCTCCAAACCAGAGCTGCTCCTCGGTGGTGCCCAATCTCACACAGCCAGGTAAGGGCAAGCAGAAAGCTGGGCCTGCTCACCCATAGTTGATCCACATGCTGTCCAATGGCTCAGGGTACAGCAAGTTTTTTATGGAAAGGCAAGTGTCTAAAGAGCATCTCCAGCACTGTGGACAAGGGTAGAGTGCAGGGCCCAACTCCCACACCTGGGAAAGTAACAGGTGGTATCCAGGAGGGAACAGGAACAGGGGAAATGCAGCTTCTTGTACCACATGCACTTTCAAGTGTAGGAAAAGGCTGGATACCCATATTGTGGACACTAAGAGGGGAAAGTTCATTGTCTTCCAGCTCTGGAGACAGAAATCTTCAAACTTTCATTACCCTCTTGTTGCTTATAGTTTTAAACCAGTATATTGTTTCTCTCACATCTGTAATTCCTGCCCCCCCCCCCAGACCTCATTCAGGACACAAGGGAGCCATGTGGACATCTCAGGACAGAATAAGCATGGATGTTCCAGAAGTTTTCCCATTAATTAGCATCACCGTGAAGCACTGATGAAAAAACAAGACCTGTCTGTGTTTCTGGGAGGAATTTCAGTCCTCAAATTCATGTAAAAAATGCAGTTTTATTTAGCATTTAACTCAATTTTTATTTGGAGCCCCATCACCACCAGCATTGCTGCTGATTTCATAGGAAGGGTGGAGCTGTAATCCCAACATTTTATGGCTAATCTCTGCACCAGCTCACAGCTCTCTGCCTCCTCTGTGCCACTGCTGAGAGCCACCCAGTGACTGCCCCACAGAGACATCGCTCCTGCTCACGGGTGTCAGGCCCCTGCAAGCTCTTGGGAGTACTATTACCTTTTGCTCTCCCCAAGAACTGGGCCTAGAGAGCACCAGTCATATGCCTTCTCTGCAGGACCCACCAATGTTCCCACCGGGCCTCTGGGACTCAGGAGCCACTGGAAGGCTGTGACCATTTCTTTCTGGAAGATTCCTAACTCTTCAGACTCCAACAGCAGACTTCCTCCCAGCTCCACCCCACTCAAGGGAACTCTTACCTGTAGACCCACAGGTACTCACCCCATCGTGACGATCACCCTCAGAGCACCTCACTTAAGAGCCTCAGTGAGTTTGGGCCTCAGCCAGAGAGCAGCAGGCTGTTTTCCACTGTTCTTCTCCTCCCACAAGACAGTTAACCTCAATTGGCCCAACGTCCTGGATGGAGATGGATGTGGGAAAAGTTCAGAAAAAAGAAAGAAAGAAAGAAAGAAACACACAGGGGGAAAGACATTTATTAATGTCTCAGTATCACTCCAACACTTGCATGTGTTCGAGTTTTCTCAGAAGTGGGCCCTGTCTCTAGCTCATATCATTTCATTGTACCTGAGACTCACATTAACTTGCCAACTTACCACTTCCACCCAGATAGCGAAGAAAAAGAATGATACAATGAAATTTGTTTTCTGTTTTGTGCATTAAGAATAGCCATTGACACTGAACCCCTGACACATAGGAGAATTCAAAATAAGCTCAAACCTACACTTAAGCCATACCTGGTTCACTCCAATGGAGGTGGAAGCAGTTTTCCAGAACCTCCTCACCCCACAGAGAAGCCCCCCCCACCCCCACCCCCGGCCCCGCCGCTATTATCATTTGTATAATAATAGCTTCTGATTTGTGTTTGGGTAATACTATATTAATTATGAACTTTGTGACTTACACTTTATTTAAGAAATAATAATAAAGTCCAAAGCATTTTGTTAAATTTGTGTAATGTAATTTTAATTAAGTATAATTTTCCAATGGGCAGTGGGGGTGGGGAATGGGAGAACTCTCCCCATCAACACAATAGAAATAGACTCCCAGGTCCCAGCAGAAGCAAATGGCAGGGGCTTCAGGCTACACTTTCCACCTGGCCTCTGACTGAGTCAGTGGAAGCGCTGTCCAGGGCACCAGAAGGGTTCGGTCAGGGGCCCACACAGGAGGCAAGCAATCGACGTTTCTCTCTCACATGGATGTTTCTTGATGGGTTTTTTTTTCCTCTCTCTTTCTCCCTTTCTCTCCTCAATGCTTCTCCCTCCCTCTCTTTTTCTCTCCCTTTCTCTCTCTAAAATCAATTAGAAAAACATATCCTCAGGTGAGGAACTACAGTTTCAGGGATCGTTTTTTAGGGTATGTTACCAGAGAAGTGTTTCTGAAGAGGGCAGAGCCTAGGGCATCAGAGACCCTGATGGGAGCTGCAGTGCTCTCTTCTGTGGGAAGCTGGCTGGTGGTGCCACCTGGCGGACCTACAGCTTGCTGTTGAAAACTGTCCTTCCTTAAAAGAGGCACAAACGGAGGGGTTCCTTTTTGATGTAATTGCTTGTGTTTTGTTCTTCATTCTCATGGTTTGCCTCCTTTCCAGTCAAAAGAAGGCGTAACATCTGGTTACATTCTTTTATTTCCATTTCTTATGGTAATATTAAGGTTGTATTTTGTACCAAAACTCTCAAAAAGGTAAATTAAAGGTTTAACTCTTGCTCTGACCGGCATGGTTTAGGGATTGAGAGTCACCTTGCAAAGCGAAGGTTTGCAGTTTTGATTCCTGGTCGGGGCACATGCCTGGGTTGTGGCCCGGTCCCTGGCTGGGGAGTGAGAGGCACTGACCCATGTTTCTCTCTTGCATTGTCCCTCTCTTTCTGCCTTCCACTCGCTCTAAAAATAAATAAATAAAATCTTTAAAAAAAAGGTTTAACTCCTCATTTCGACTTACTTTATACCAAAAATTTTCTTTATCAGGCAACATAGTTATTTTCTCTCTGCTTATTTTGATAGAACAGTACATAGTACTGTTTTATTTTTGAATCAGCATCTTCTCATGGAATGTCCACATTAGTACACATGTATGTAATTACTGTCTTTATCTGTGTAGAGCATCTTGAGCTAGAACACACCATAGTGCGTCCAGCCATCGGTGTGCCGTCAGATTTCTTCAGAGTCTGTGCCGTCTCAGGCAGCACTGCAGCGAACACGCTGTGCCATGGGCACGTGTGTGCGGTTTCCTCGGAGGAGACATGATGTGGACTTACTGAGTCAGAGTACGTTTAGTCCTAGGTTTTGTTTCCACTCAACGCTCAGAGTTTATACCATATCACCGGTGTGTGGAGTATGCATCTCATCTCCACTCACATTCTGTCTCTCTTTGAATCTAGAGAAAGGAAATAATCTCATTGTCGCTCTAATTAATTCCCCTGGTAACTAACTAGAGGGAAACTTTTTATATTTTATGGTCTTTCACAATGTTTTCTTCTGCGAATGCCTATTAGTGCTTTATACAGTTCAATATTGAATTGTATGAGGTTTTTCTTTTTTCATTAGACTTGAACAATTACTATTGTGTATTGTTCAAGACACACAATGAAGCAGATATGAGCTGCTCAGGTGGGGTGGGGAGAGGTGAAAATTGATGTTTCATTCTCTGAGTCTTGCCTTCAGCAAACGTTCTCTCTTCCCTGCCCTGAAAACTACACGTTTGGGGGTTTGACAGACCTGGTTTGGATCACACACTCATTCGGCTCAGTGAAAATGACTTTGATCAAGTTATTAAATGACTTTAGACAAGTTTGAACAAGTTATTCTTTCTTTGAAAGAATCAGTGTTCTTTCCACACACCAGGAGCAGGAACACCTAACACAGTTTCTGTGAGTGCAGTCTTGGCCTGAAGGTGTCCCCTTAGCTGGCTGGCACTAAGGCCCCTCAGAGGAAAGGGCAGGGAGTAGGTTTAATCGATTACTGTTTAGATAGCTTCTGCCACTTCAAAGAGTTATTCCCTATAGAGTTCTGTTCCTACGATCACATCTTTTTTGATAAACTGGTCTAAGGAATGTTAGTGCTGTAGGCTAAAACCTGGCTTGTATTGTGCTGGCCAAAGTGTCTGTATGTTTTTTTTTCCGTAAAATAAAAGACACCTTTTTTCATTGTCACCAATAACTTTATTGGTTTGGATAGTTTGAGTACATTGGCTATCTCCTGTGCGGCAGACCTTGATTGCTCTCAGTTAACATCTGGATTTGACTGCTATCAACTTCAACTGGTCTACCCGAGCGAGGAGCACCATCCAGCCAGCAATCTCCAGCCCGAAACTGCAAACTACTTTTGACACGTTCAATCAGTCTCAGCACCTTCTCCTTACCCTGCACAAATCTTTTTTTGTGCTTCAGTTGTGTTTTTACCTTTCTTGAAATAATAAAGCATAATATGCCAAAAATGTTGTATATTTCCTTCCATCTTCAAATTAAAATGGCTACACAAAAATTCACCAATTTTGATAAGTTTTTTTAAATGCACACTGATATGACAGCTGTCACAATACAATCTAACAAAATAGTTTTGAATGAAGTTAAAGAAAGCTAAGCACTACTACAGCTATCTTACAGAAAAAAACAAATGACATTTTTGGCCAACCCAATTATTGGTTAGTAAAGCAGTATTTTCTTAATTTGGAACTAGGAGACGAAAATTTAAAAAAAAAACTAATCGAGAGTCCAAGAAGGTTTTTCTTCAATAAAAATAAGTGATAAGCAAAACACAACTTGTTTCCAAGTGTTTGCTGGGAAAACGTGTCGCACAGGTAGGGGAAAGCGACGTGGCTGCCCTGGGAGGGACTATGTCGAATGCGAGTTCCCGGAGAGCTATGTCTGCACCTGCAGCTCACCTGGTGCCAGGACCATGAGTGGAAGGCTGAGCGCACTCTGCTGGACTGGCCTGTGTCCTCACCTGAATGGCAGTTCTCTTTTCCCCTTAGCAAAGGGAGCGGGAGAGAAGACAACCTAAGTCATGCTCTGCTCAGGTCTCAGTTTAGTGTATGTACACAGCTGTTCAATCTGGAGATTTTCTTCCTGTTTAAAAGATTACCAGGAGATTTGTTGATGTTTTCTTGTATACTTTCTGTTTAATTAATTGTTACATTTTTAAAGTCACAAGTGCATCTTTGCTAATACTATCAAAATATATATAAATATTGTAATTTCCTCCCCCCAAATTCAAAGATCAAGCAATTATCTTTTCCTACAGATTTAATTTTGTATGGTAATATAGCATCTTATTTACCTCTTTAAAGAATCATGTAACATCAGTGACTTCCATCGTAGTGAACACTTGGCTTAAAAATACTCGCCGAAGATTTCCTCAGGTTTTGTTTCCTGGGTGAGGGAAGTGTGAGCTTTCATTGCCTAGCAGAGTTCCCAGCCTACTAACAACTCAGTACCTATTTTTTAAAAAAGATTTATTTATTTATTTATTTATTTTTAGAGAGGAAAGGCAGGGAGAAAGGGAGAGAGAGAGACATCAATGTGTGGTTGCTGGGGGCCGTGGCCTGCAACCCAGGCATGTACCCTGACTGGGAAATGAACCTGCGATGCTTTGGTTCACAGCCCGTACTCAATCCAATTCAGTACATATTTAACAAAATGAACAAATTACAACTAATAAACCCATGATGGAGCAATGCAAAGAGCCCTGGAATGCGATGCAGCTTGAGGAGCAGAGAGTGTTCTGAGCTCAGGATTGAATGTGGGTGCTCTGTTAGGGGGCAAAAGGAACCTTTGCAAACATGCTGATGTTCATGCTGCTTCTCACATCACGAGTAATAAAGTTCTTGGTCTCTGATGCAGGAGGCTCATGTCTTCTACTAGAGTTCATGAAACAACAACAGGCTAATTTATTCACTTGTAGTAGGATATAATCAAATCCCAGTTGCTTCAAATATGAGTTACTTTTGTGACAGCAAACCAATCAACATTATTAGAAAATTAGAAAAGATCATGCTCTAGCAAATTGCTATTTTCCATCTATGATTCCCTAAGTAACATTGATTAGAATGCATTGACATGTTTCTATAAACAAACCTTAAAAAACAGAAAATGGGAGCCTAAGTCATTAAGGTTTTTTCAATATTTCCTTGCAGATTGAAAAAAACACATTTCTGCACTGGCTGGTGTAGCTCAGTGGATGGAGTGCCAGCCTGTGAACTGAAAGGTCGCTGGTTCGATTCTGGTCAGGGCACACGTCTGGGTTGCAGGCCAGGTCTCCAGCTGTGGGTGTGAGAGAGGCAAATGGTCATTGTATCAATTGCACATTGACATTTCTCTCCCTCTGTTTCTCTCTCCCTTCCCATCTCTCTAAAAACAAACAAATAAATAAAATCTTTGGAAAAAAAACCCACATTTCTCTAGCTATTCCTCAACTCCCAGCAATATGAACTTTTCTAGTAAATAATTCTTCTGGATAGTCTGAGGCTGATTCCTGCAGTCATCTCTTTCCATGGCTGGCATCCTACAGTGATTTCCCCACCCACCATCCTATATGCCTGATAGTGGGCACTGGACTTTGCCCACACAATGTGCATTTCTCCAACCCTCGACTCCACTCTTCAGTAGCAGCTGGTTCTGCTAATCCCTCTAGGTCTGGGGGCTTCAACCTCACCTCTGCCTCATTGGTCTTTACCTTATCCTCCCCAGTGAGAATTATAATCTCCTAGGGTCCTGAAACCCACAGGCTCTGAACTTCATAGTGAACAGAAGGAGGGGAAGCCTAGTTACATCTTTAGAAACACAAAGGAGGCTCACCTATGAATTCGGATGGAAGACAGAAGCTCTAAGACCAATTAGCTGCATCTCAGCAACTTTCTCTGTAACATCTGTACCCAATGTTTTCCATTCTTCAACTCCCATACAATCTCTAAACAGTATACATACATACATACCAGCAAAGTGACTTCTTACTAAACAGTGCTCACTAAGGTCATCATTCAACTCTGGAACCGTATCAGACATTTCAGGACCTTTGGCACTTATTGACCGTTCCTGTTCTGCCTCCTCTTTTCCATTAGCTCACCAACATGCACAGATGTCCTTCCTCTCTCTTCCTGGCTGCTCTTTCTCTGGATCCTTTATGGTTCATTTTTATCTGCATGTCCCTTAGAAGATGCTTTTCTCCAGGGCTCTTCCCTAGGCCACCTTCTTATCTCACACCTCAGCCCCTCCTGAGCAGCCTCCTTATTCCAGTGGTTTCAGTCACTACTGCCCTCATCCAGGCCTCTCTGGAGTTCCAGACTCCCCTCTGGCTTTCTAATGAATTTTTCTGCTTACATATGACATATGCACCCCAAGCTCAATGGTTTCAAACCCACTCAGCCTGTTCCAACAAATCTGCTCCTCCTCCTACGGCAACAGATGATGCCACTATCCACCAAATCGCCCAGGAAGAAACCAGAAGCTTCCCCCATCCCTGTTCAATCAGCAGGGCTTATTCATTCATTGTCCTAAATACCCACTGTCACTTCTCATTTGCTCCCAGGTACCACCTGAATCCAGGGCACTGTCATGTCTTGTGGGGATCACTGCCTTTCCCCCTAAACTGCAGCTCCAGTCCATTCTCCACTCTGCAGTGATGAAGACCTTTCTAGTGCAATCTTGAATGTGCCCTTCTTCCTTTTAAAAAAATCTCTCAACACTCCTCAATGCCTCCTAAAGAAGAAATCATTATTATGACTTCCAGATCCCTTCATGCCCTGGACCTAGTCCATTTCTCCATCTTCATCTTCTCAGGTTAAGTGCAAATACTATAGGCCTGATCCCTGATTTCATACATTTCAGTCTGATGGAGGACACACATGAAACAGAAATGAACCACTGAAACAATATCTATGTTTTTCAAATGCTATGAAGATGGGATACAGGAATAACTGCAGACTCCATTGGGAGGGTGGTCAGGGAGTCTGATTTTCTGTTTCCTAAAACTGAGAATCAGGAGGAGGAACAATCCAGGAAAGATTATAAAGATCTGTTTTGGGTAATAAAAATATATGTAATACATTTTAAAGTATTTGTTGCTGATTACATACACACACGTACATCTCCTTGCAATGCCTTGACTTCTGTCCTCAAAACATGACCTTCTTTCTAAGACTGATGTAAGAGTTCATGTATCTTCAGGTTGGCAAAGTGGAGTGTGGCAGGAAGGCTGCAGAGGTTGATTGCTTTTTGAACACTTGATTTTTATCCCATAGTCAACAGAAAATTATGGAAAACTTTAAACTGGGAAAAGACAAGGACTAGGTATGAATTCTATACTGTCCTTTCAGTTTTCTATGTGAAGGACTGGCGGGAACTGGAGGGAACTGGGGGCAGGAAGACCAATGAGAAGGCAGTTGCTGTGGTTTGCAGTGATCCTGAGGAGAAATGAGGGTGACCTAGATTAAAGTTGTGGATGGGAAGATGAAGAAGTAGAGGGATTCTTGAGATACTTGATGGTACCAGATGTAGTTTTAGGAGCTTTACCTATAGAGAGACAGAGAGGAATCAAGGATGGCACTGAGATTTTTAGCTTTAACCAACAGACTGGATGCTGAAGCCATTCCTTGAGATAGCCAATCCTCCCAAGAAGGCTGGAGGTGAACATGACGCACTGAGTATGGACATATTCAGTTTCAGGTGCTTTGGGAAATCAATTCATCTGGAATGACCACTAAGTAATATAATAAATCATGTCACTCTGAGTGTGAAACACTTCCAGAGGCTCAACGTTGACAAGGATACAATTTCAAATTTCTTAACAAAACTTATAATTAATTTACTCTTTTTAGTTTCATCTCTGTCACTTATCTCCACTCAGGTTCCCAGCCCAAAGGCAATTTTAGTTCCTCAAAGGGATAATGCTCTCTGCCGTTTCAGGGACTTTGTGCCAACTGTCCTGTCAGGGTCTATTTTATTCTCCTTGCATTCCACAAAGACTGAGAGCCAGGCAAGGTGATGGGATGAAATGGTAAACAAAAGGCAACCTCACGATACGTATAAGAGTGCACACAAAAGTATTGTTTGTAAAAAAAAATGCCCTTGTGGAGCTTAAAGTAGAATGGCGTAGCTACACACTAATCCAACAATTCCACAGATAACTAAAAATTAAATCAAACATTAAAATCGCAAATGATGTAAGAGCTGCTAACAGAAGGTACCTAGTAAGGATAAGAGCCCATAATGGGGTTTTGACGTAGTGAAGACTTGCCTGAGAAAGTGAAGGCTGAGCTAATTCAAAGGTGGACAAAAGCGTTCTAGGCTGTGAGAACACCCCTGTATAGGCTTATCACTTGGTACATTATGGGGAACTAGGGGAAATACTTACTTTTCGTAAAAAGTCCAGGCGAGGTAGAGAAGGGGACCGGGGACAGGCCCCACCCCCTCCCCCTCCCCCTCCCCCCTCCCCGCGCAGGCGGTGGAAGACGTGGCTATTTTGTCCCACAGCAGCTGCCATAGGGCTGTAGTAGGCCACGATCTGGACGCACTGATTATTGGGAGTTGTAGTCTTTACCTGTGGGAGCAGGCATGGCGGCTTCCATTGCATGGGTCTGTGGAGCAGCAACTGGACTGACCCGGAGCGTTGGAGCCGCCAGGGCGCTGCTTCCCGTGCGGGCCTCTGTCGCCTGCCGTAAGTGGATCGAGGCTTGAGAACCGAGGAGCAGAAGGGGTGCAGGGCAAGGGTGGCAGTAGGCGAGCATGAAAGTCTGGGGTGACCCCGGCGGAGGACCCTCGTAGGACCTCGAGCTGGGGAGATTGCGGGGTTCCCCAGGAGGTCAGGGCAGGCTCCAGCATCCTTGATCTCTGCTTTCTGTTCCCGCAGGGGCCCGCGTGGGGCCGGGCCGTCAGCAGAGCACTGGACCTTCCCAGTCCGGCGCGTTCCAGCCGCCTCCAAAACCCGTCATCGTGGACAAACGCCGTCCCACGCGCGAGAAAACCAGGTGAAGCCGGGTCCTGGGCATGATTCTCTCTTTTTTGGGTCTGCGCTCAGGAACCTGTATTCGCTTAAGTCTGGGCTCTAAATCCGGGTCTGAAACTCCCATTGCAGGAACTCGTGGATCCAATTGTTGTTGAGCCCTCTTACGTAAAGCACACCCAACTCAGGCTTGCCTTCATCGCTTCTTCCAAGCTGAACTGAACTTTGTTTGCAGTTTTATTAAATTAGAACTTCAGATAGGGATTTCCTAGATTTGAAGGTATTAGTGTTTCTGTAGACCTAATTAAAAAGCCAATTGGAGGGGTGTGGAGCGGAGTACGTGATGTGAGTATAGGCTTTGTGAAGGGACTCTGGGCTGTTGATTGGATTATCTCTGCCTGTGTGTGTGTTTAACATTTCAAATATTCCGTGGTCCAGAGTTGAAATAAAGTTGAATTTATGGAATTTAGAAATTAAGAAAAGACTTTTATCCAACTTTTTTTTAATGTGGAAAAAGAAATAGCTTCCTTAAATAGCAGCACTTAATGTAACCAGTAAAATGAAATATAAATTGTGTAACAACTTTGTAAAACAATTTAACACAATTTAGTAAGTTTGATGTTGTGTATACTTTTCCATCCAGAAGGGTATAAAAAAGTAATAAGTATGAGAAGATATGTATAAGAGTGCACACAAAAGTATTGTTTGTAAAAAAATTAAGTAACCTAGATATCTGTCAGCACGTGGGCTATTATATGGCAGTGAAAAGCAAATGAACTAGAGCTAACATGAACTTCAAAAATACATGTGAAAAAAGGAACCTACAGAAGAATTGATATAGTATGATAGCATTTTTATATTGCCTAGACATATATATGCATATGTAAGGACAAAAAGTATACAGGGGAAATTCTCCACTTTCACAGAGCAATCCATCCTAGCTCTCCCAATAGCTCCACAAGCAGAAGTTATGTGCCTCCTGATGTGGCACAATGAGATCACATCATCACCTCTGTAGTATTTTTACCAAAAATATTTAACCTTGGTCTAAGCATGTGGAAACAATAAACAAATCCAGATTCCAGGGACTGTCTATAAGACAACAGGCTTTGACTCTTCAAAAAAGTCAGTGTTATAAAAATACGAAGATGGGGAGCAGCTCTAGTTTCAGAGACTGAAGAGACGAACAACAGACACTGTGTGAAGCTGGTTTGTAGCTTAGATTGGGCAGCAGACAGCTATGAGACCTTTTCCAGGACAATTAAGTGTATTTAAATATGCACTATGTATTAGATTATATTTTTTAATTAATGCTGGAATTCTTAGGTGTCATAAAGGGATTGTGATAAATGTAAGAGAATGTCCTTGTTCTTAGCAGACACCTTCTAAAGTGCTGAAGGATGAAATGCCTTGCTGCTTGTCATTTTCAAATAGTTCAGGAAAAAATCATGGTATATATGTAAATTATGTATGTATATGGGTATATAAAGTAAATATGTAAAATGTTGGCAGTAGGTGAAGTATATTTGGATGTTCATTGTATAACTGTTTCAACTTTTAGTAGGTTTGAAAATTTTTTAAGTAGGGAATTGAGAAATTGAAGAAATTCATAGGAATAATCATCACCAAATTTAATTACAGCACAGTAATTATAGGGGTAGATGGGTGCACAGGGGCTTCAACCACATTGATCATTTATTTCTTGAGTTGGGTGATAGGGACATGAATTTGCATTGTAATGTCATTTACACTTTCCTGTAGATTAACATTAAAGTGAGTTTAAAATCAGTTCAGGAGACTGGGGCAATTATTTTTTAAAGTCAGTTTGATTATTTATATGTTTGTGTCTTTTCCCACATAGTTTATTACAACATGTGCAATCCAACATGTGACCCATGGTTATGGTCAGAGGCTTTGGAGTCTGACAGACGTTTAAATCTTGACTTGATGAGTTTATAGCTAACATAATAACAAGTGAGTTATTTATCTCCAAGCTTAATTTTCATCTTGAAGAGGAGACAATGACACCAAACCACCTGGTTGTTGTAAGGATGAAATTATGCTATCGATGTGCTTTTAACACAATGCCAGGCGAGTACCGAGGATTATTAGCTATTTTCATAAGCACTGACAACAATTTTAGAAATAAGATAAATTTTTCTTATTTAGAGAAGGAAGAATAAAATGCTTCAAAATCATAATCTTTCTTTTTATTTTTAAAAAAGCAACAGATTCTTTTTTTAATGGTCTTTAAAGTTTGCTTTTAATTTTTTTTTCCTGCAGATTCTTGAGTCCTGAATTCATTCCTCCAAGAGGGAGAACAAAGCCTCTGCTATTTCAACTAGAAAGAAAAGATATGTTAGAAAGGAGAGAAGTGCTCCACATTCCAGAGTTCTATGTTGGTCAGTAAGGGCCGAATGCTTTTATTCTTAGTGACTGGGGGGTTAGTTTTCTTGGCATAGAGAAGGTTGTTTTTCATATACCTGGGTTTTACCTATATGAGGTTCTTATTTCTAACATTATACCAAAATCTGTAGGAAGTCACACAGTTACCTAGAAATGCTATTGTTTGTTTCTGCATCTGAATTTGTAGGAAGCATTCTTCGTGTTACTACGGCTGACCCATATGCCAGTGGAAAAACCAGCCAGTTTCTGGGGATTTGCATCCAGAGATCAGGAACGGGACTTGGAGCTACTTTTATCCTTAGGAATACTATTGAAGGACAAGGTAGGTGGGGTTCACTTTATTATTTTGGTATCTGGAAAGTGTCATCTCAGGATTCTTTGTTTTCTGCACACTGGGATAAGACATCTGTAACTTGACAGTGCAAGGGGCCCCAGGGGATGACGCGGACCCTGTGGCCTAAGAAGGTGTGAAAATCGAGGTGGCTGATTAAATGCAGGTGGTGCTTTGCTTTCCCTGGAAGGCTCCTTTTACTGCAGGGACAACAGCTGTTAGAGGTGGGCTTTCCAAACTGGCAGCATCCCAGGAGGAGACAAATGACTACAGCAGTGTGGGGACATTCATTTTAGGTGCAAATAGCCCTTGAGAACATTTTGAACATAATGATATCTTTATGAGTTCTTTCTCCTAAAACGAATGGTCCCCAATTTGCTTTATGTTAACAGCAGTCACCACAGGATGGGTTTTATAAGGATCAGAGAAATTTTTTAAAAAAGCAAAATTATGTAAGCTATGCCTGATAAGGCAGAGGAACAAGTGGTAAAATTTTAGAAAGATTATGAATCTGAATGGCAGGAACAGTCAAGTGTCCACTCTTTATGTTGTGTGCTGTGTGATCCCCAGCAGCGGAGTGCTGTGTTCAGGAGGAACTGAACGTATGAGAGCAGTTGCTGCCTTTCTTACCCTGCAGTGACCTGAGAGAGACGCTGTGCTTCAGTCGGGTCGTGTACTGCAGAAACCTTGTCATAGAAAAACATCAGCACAGGTGTGAGTCAGACAGATCTGGGTTTGATTTTCTTTAAAATTGAGATAAAAGTTTCTACCTCCTGGGGTTGTTGTGGTCATTTGATCGTGGTGTTGTACATGAGGTGCTGGACACCATACTCAAAAGTATTAGCTCCTTGTCATTCTTTTTTTAAAAGATTTTATTTGTTTTAGACAGAGGGGAAGGGAGGGAGAAAGAAAGGTCGAACCAGTGGCTCTTTGGTTCATAGGCTGGCACTCAATCCACTGAACCACACCAGCTAGGGCATCTCCTTGTCATTCTTTACAGTATATTTTGACTGTAACCTGCACAGGCAGGTTACCTTCCCCATCAATACTCCCTTTTTCGGTGGTTCTTTTTTAGGCCAGTGGCTTTAAGTATCATCCTTATGATGACCATTTCCAAATATATATCCTGAGTATTAACCCTTTCCAAAATTCCAAATTCCATATTTGCATATGCAGCTACCAATTTGGCATCTCCATTTGGATATCTTATAAGCATAAAACAAGTTCAAAGGAGAACTCTTTATTTCCCCTCACAATGTGTTCTTTTCAAGTTTTTTTTCCTATTTCTATAAATGATACCACTCCTCACCCATTTAATAAAAAGGTTAGTAGCTTTTTTTTTTTATATAACATCAATGTGTGGTTGCCTCTCACATGCCTGTCACTGGGGACCTAGCCTACAACCCAGGCATGTGCCCTAGACCGGCAATCGAACTGCGACCCTTTGGTTTGCAGGCTGGCATTCAATCCACTGAGCCAAGGAGCTGTTTTTAATTCTCTTTCACACACTCAATCAGCAGGTTTTTATAGCTCAGTCTCAAAGTGTATACCAATTTTGTCCGTTTCTCCATCTCCGTTGCTACTGCTCTTGTCCTTGCTACTGCCTTCTCCTCCTTGCAGCTGTGTGGCATTGCTGGTTCACTTTCCTGACTCCCAGTTAGCATGCTCCAGACAAGTGGGCCTTTTCCAGGTTTTCCAAACAGGGCAAATTTGTTAAGACCCCAGGGCTTTAGCATTTCCCATTCTTGCCTGGAGCATTCATGGCCCTTCGCAGTATCGGTTTAAATGTTACCTTTTCAGAGAGGCTTTCTCTGACTATGCTAAAGCTGCCGCCTCTTCCCATCCACAGTGTCATCACCCTGTGTTGTTGGTGTGTCTGTCATCCAGTAGATCGACAGCCGTATGAGAGGAGATCTTACTGTTCGGGTTTTGCTGTAGGCACAGCTCCTAAATCAGTGCCTGAACCAGAGTAGTTGTGCAGGAAATACTGGACTAAATCCTAGTGTTAAACACTGGATGTTCACATAGATCATGTATTTTACTATTTCTGTTCCTCTTGGGGTTGTTCCAGGAAACCTTAGAATGTACTATTGCCATTAAGCATTTGAAGATACAGATGGAAGATGGTATATATTAAGTTGTTACTTGTGGCATCTTGGAAACATCAAAAACTGTTCTTAGGTTGCTTCCTACGGATAGCTCCAGAGTGTTTAAACAAACAAAAAACAAAAATGAGGCTGTCCTTACGAGGGCTTCTAAACCAGTTAGAATTTAAAAGTGTACTTACTCTTTTTTGCATCATTAATCCTCTTGCTCTTAGTGTAGAAGATAGAGCTCTGTTTAAATAATTGGGAAATAAACTACATGACAGTGGAAAATTTACTTAAATTTTCTCCACGTAATACTGTCAGAATTGAAGAGCTGTTGTCTCAATGTATTTATAGAAGACATCATTCTTTCGACTTTAAAGATTGAAATTTACGCCACATTTCCTACCTGCAGTTTCCTGCCCTGTGCTCGTTCCTTGATGAAATAGCTTTTACTGCATTGGGAAGCTTGTGCAGGGATCTGGACTTTGATTGTAAGAAAGTTTTCTTCTCTTCTTAGGTGTTGAGATTTGCTTTGAACTCTATAATCCTAGAATCCAGGAGATCCAGGTGGTCAAACTGGAGAAACGGCTGGATGACAGCTTGCTGTACTTACGAGACGCCCTTCCAGAATACAGCACTTTCGATATTAACATGAAGCCGGAAGTACGAGAATCTAGCCAAGAAGTTCCTGTCAATCAGGTATAAGTTGAACGCTTCAAACTGGAAATCGAAGTGTAAAATAAGAGTCATCTTAATGAAAACTTTTAGAAGAATTTTGCTTTTCACTACCAGCCTAATTTGTCCCCGCCCCCTTTTTTAATCTCTCCCTCAGCTGAAGGTGAAAATGAAGCCTAAGCCCTGGTCCAAACGCTGGGAGCGACCGAAGTTCAAGGTGAAAGGAATCAGGTTTGATCTCTGTTTGACTGAAGAGCAGATGAAAGAAGCTCAAAAGTGGAGTCAGCCGTGGCTTGAGTTTGACATGATGAGGGAATATGATACTTCAAAAATTGAAGCTGAAATATGGAATGAAATTCAAGCATCGAAAAAGTCTTGATCTGAAAATGTATTTAGCTCCTTGCAGACAATACACTGACTCTCAGAGGATTTTTTTTAGAGACCAATTTAATTTCATATATAAAGACATAGTCATTCAATCAACTAAGCATTCATTATTTTATGAGTACTGTTTTAAAAAACTAAAATTAGTACATCTCTTTATTACTTTAAAAGGTGAAGTACACATGCCAAGTGGTCTGGTGTTTGTTCTGTTACTGGAGGCGAAGCTAAAATAGAGTTAGGCTACCACAGAATCCTCTCACAGAAAGTCTGGGCAAGGAAGCAGGTACCCAGCCCTGACTGGCTGGATGCGCCCCCTCAGGCAAGCACAGCCCCGCCCACTTCTCCAGCCTGGTGTCAGAGCAACACAGGTGGACTGTGGTGTCTCCTTTGTGCGGATGTCACCAGAGTTCCCCATTTCCACTCACCTAGTGCCCAGCCCTTCCAGTGAAGCAAAGGCGGGAGCAAAAGTCAGTGGCTGGGCAGGACAAGTGTGCTGTCTCCTGGAGCACTGTGGCAGGACATGGTCACCTTGGGAGGCAGGGGAAGGCAGAGAACAGAGGGTGAGAGAGAAGGTATCTGACCCCAGCTCCCCTGGGTCTTCCAAGTGCCTCCCCTCCCCACTCCCAGTTCCCCCTGACCCGGTCCCCAGAAGCCAGGCCAGGAGACCACAGCTGTAGGGGCCCCAGCTTCACGGGCTTTGCCAGGTCTCCATGTCCACTACCCTAGGAGAGGACCTCACTCAGTCTCTAAAACCTAAGTCAGACCATGTTCTTCCCTGCTTAAAGTGCTTCCAGAGCTTTCCATCCCCTGTGGGGTGAAGTGTATAAACGCAGACTCGAGCCCCGGCTGGCACAGAGGGCAGCCCCTCAGCCCTGAACCTGGCACTGTGTGAGTGCGGTCGGGGGTGATGGGCACTTGAATCAGAATCATCAGTGAGTGCCAATGTTATGTTCCTCATGCTCCATTTTAAAAGGTGGGGAACGTGTCACGTACTTTAGAAGGATGTGAGGGAGGCGGTGGCAGATGTCAGAAGCTCAACGGGGAGGTGGCTCAGACCTGGGCTCCAGAGCCACACCTTGGAGCTGCAGTCCTGGTCCCCTGTGCTGTGTGGCCTTGGTCAGGTTACCGAACCTCCCTGTGCCTCAGTTCCCTTACATGCAAAGTGGGGGCTAAGATAGTCTTTTACTCACAGGACGTCAGGACTAATGAGTGTTTTGAAATGCTTAGGAGAATGTCTAGCACCTGGTAAGCCAGTGTTTGGTATTAATAAATAAAATTTATATACTTATTAAATTAATATATACATACAAAGACTTGACTTCTCAAGCTGTATTTGATTGCATCCCACCCTAAGCTTGTACCCGACCGGTGGTCCAGCCCCTTTGTCCTGTCTGTGCTGCTCGGGAAAGGAAGCCTGAGCACGGCTTCTGTGGGACACAGACACCTGCACGCTGGACCTGCCCCTCCCTCATTCACAGCCAGGCTCACACATCGGTCCACCCATCTCTCGTGTTACTTCAAACATCTATCTGGTCGTTAAACGAAGGTTGAGTTCTTAGGAATCAATAGGAAGAACTTGGAGCCCGTTCCTGAACGCCCCGCCCCTGCTGTTACCACAGTGACCCACAGGTGGCACCATTTCCTCTGACGGCACGAGGCACGGGGGCTCCCGTGGCTTGCTTAGGGCACTGTGTTCACTGTGTGTGCGAGTCTGGTCCCCGCAATGCTCCAGTTGCAGTGTCTTCCAGGGCTCCAGGCCCCTCCGTGGAAGGAGCTAGTAACCCCAGTGACCTCATCCCTGGCCCACACTCCCTGGGCCAGGGCTCCTGAGGTTTCAGTGCGTGTAGAAAGTTGTCAGTTTCTCTGAACAGGGACAGGTGATGGCTAATGAAAGACAGACAACGGGGGGCCTTGTCCCCAAGAAGCTGACATACACAGTCTGTCTTTGTTTTCAGGACCTAGGCCAAATGGAGAGGGCCCCTCTCTCACCGGCAGGTTAAATACACCAAACCCTGTCAAGGTCAGTCCTGAGAGTCTGTCAGATCTAGAAATGCCAGGGTGCCCTGTTATGAGGAGACTCCAAAAACGAGTCAGGCAGTAGTGGGGCTCCACGTGTCCCCCTCCACCACGGCTGTCCTTGTTAAGGTCTGGTGAAATGACCCTTATGGGCCGAATGTTTTTGTCTCCCGTCCCCAAATTAATATGTTGAAATCCTATGGGATGGTATTAGGGGGTGGGGCCTTTAGGATTGTTTAGGTCATAAGGGTGGGGTCCCCACGAATGACAATAGTGCCCTCAAGAAACGGGAGAGAGGGCGTCCCTCTCCCCCGTGTGTGGGAGCCCACACACAATTACTTCTCTGACCCAGGAAGAGGGCCTTTGCCGCCCGACCCTGCTGGCTCCTGGTCTCCTGCTTCCGGCCCCCAGAACTGAGGGAAACAAATGTTTGTTGTGGTGTCCTGTTATAGCAGCCCAAACTGAGACCATTTCCAGATTCAACAGGCACTTTTCTCCTTTTTTTGTTTTTTAAACTTTTTGCAGCATCCCTTCCGACCCCCATCCCTTGAAACTCCCTATGTCCTTGGGTTTCGTGGCCCCACCAGCTCCTGGTTTCCTCCTATGCCTGGCTGCTCCCACTCGGAAACCTCCATGAGTTCCTCTTTGTCCACCCTTCCTCTGGTGTCAGTCTTCTTGCTATGTCTATTCCTCATGCTGTTCCCTGCCCTCCACACAGACTCACCCTGGGTAATCTTCCTCCCTCCTCTCTCCCTGATTCTATCTAACTTAAACCAGTGCACCAGTCTCATGAACCAGCTGGCACATTCCCCTTCCCTTTCTTGTCACACAGACCCTTCAAAGGCAGGGTATTCAAACCCGAAGCAAACCCAAGCATCTGTCCACCACAGTTCCGATCCCCACCCAGGCCACCAAGTCAAGTCTGTCCCTGGCCTTATATCCAGAGTCACCTTACTCAGAAACTCAGAGTAACATCCTTGACTCCTGTATCAGTTTCCTAATAAGTAACATAAACTGAGTGGCTTAAAACAACAGATTTTTTTCCTCTCACAGTTCCAGAGGCAAGGTGTTGTCAGGGCCTCTCTCTCCAAAGGATCTAGGGGAGAGTCCCCAGCTTACATTCAGTCAGTATTTCCAAAAGAGGGAAAATAATCACTGTCCCCTGTCCCTGCCCTGTGACTGGGTGAAATGACCCCTCCTTCGCCATGACTCCGACATGTGGCTCTGATGACAGGCACTAACCCAGCCTAGAGTGGCTGAGGTCTGTCCCCGTCACTTGCCTCGAGGCACACAATGTCCACCTCCTCTTCTATCGGACAGCCCTTTAGTGGCTCCCCTCTCACCATCCCATCTAACAGGGAGATGGCAGCTGGGGCTCCAACCCTGCTCAGTAGCTACAAGCCAGTCTTGCCCACCTCAAACTCCAGTTTTTTCCCTTGTACGCCAAAGGCCTGACCTCAACACAGAGTGGGACTTGAGTTTGTGCTGCTCACACCTTAAAGTGCACATGAACCTCTGGGCACTCTGTCCAGATCCAATATGGTTGGGGCCTGGGGGTCTGAATTCCTAACAACCACACTGGTGGCAGGGGGTTGGGCCAGCTCCGATGCCCGCCCCCTTTAGTTCTCTGTCCTTGAGGGAGAACTCTGACCATGACATAGAGACCCCTCTGCTCTTGTCTACGGTGTTTCACCCTCCTCCCCGCCCCTTCCCCCCTCCTGTCCTTCCACAAGTCATTGTGGACAACTGTGGGCCGTTAGCCCCTGAGGGAGATGAGCGTCCCCAGCAGAGGACCCAGGTGTGCTGCCTGGGAGCAGGGAGGGGGTGGGGCTCGGGAGAGGGTGCCTAGAGCCTGTCCAGATGGATCAGCCTGCTGTGACCCCTTGAGTGCTTTGCACCCCATTTTTGGGCAGCACCCCTGCTGAACAACCCCCCTCCCTCAAAGCCAAGGAAACGTGTCCTCGGCGACATCAAGCAGAACTATGCAGTCTTGTTTCACTGCATCTAAAACACCGGCACCAGGCTGCTGATCTGCATGTTCCCCTTGGGGCACCTTGTAAACTGAGAAGAGTCCTGTTACTGATGGGTGCCTGGGTGCTGGGGAAATCAGGTGCTCATCAGAACTGTGTCTAAATTTAGCAGATGATTTTAGAGCTTTAAGCTAACATTTCAAGAATGACTTTTGTAATTTTGGCAAACAATGATGGCTTGCACTAAACAGTGTTGATTTTAAGGAGCAGGATTGATTGCGGCAGCCCAGGGTGGATCCAGCCCTTTAGGACTTGGACGGCAGAGCTGTGAGTGCACCGGCCTCGGGGAGGACGCGATGTGGGGTGGAGTGCACAGTGGGCTGGGGAGTCCTGGAGCAGAGTCGCATCTCCGTGGATGTGAGCTCAGCAGACGTTCTGACAGCTCCCCCCACCGCCCACCCCTCACTTCACCCTGGGCCCGGCACTCATCTTCCTCCTGTCCAGCCTGCCAGTCACGCACTGCCTAGACCAGCTGCCCGGAGCTCTGTGCGCAGACGTGGGCATGTGACTCTGCCCAGTGCTCTCAGATCTGAAAAACAGACCGGATTACTGCTGTGTCTGTGGGAAGGAGCCTGCATTTAAAGTGATGGGGATGTGTATGTTTAAAAAATCAGCAACACAGGCCAATGATTTTTCCAGGACACAGCTGACTTATGGTCCGTATTTTTGCATAGCTTCTGGAAACAGGGACAATGGCGATTGACAAGCAGTGGAGGAGAGCAGGGTGGTGCACCTCTGGGAAACGGAATCTGAGTCCTGCAGCTTCTCTGAGGGTTCCAGCTGCCGTGAGGTCCCACATCAACATTACCGTCCTGAAGATGGCTGTACATCATGACAGAGACTGCTGTGACCGCTCAGTCCATGCATGACGAGAGGAACATGAAAAGAGAGCCAGGGAGAGCTGCAGTCCTGCCCAGAATTTGTACTTTAACCCAGGACGCAGGGGGTGGGGATGAGGGAGTGGCTGCCTCTGATCCCACCCGGTAAGTGTGGCCAGAGCTCGCCCAGCATCACTGACATTGAGTGATACTCCGAGGGAGGGACCGGTCCACT